GCTCAAGCTGACTTACCTCAAACAGTAGAGTTAGAAACATACCAGGGGATTCGAATTCAAACCCATCGAGGTGGCAGGTACCAATGCCATCTCACTAGTCCCAGTGATCAATTTCTGTTCACAATTGATCGTAATGATAGGACTAAGAACCAAAGGGATCACATAAACAAGAATAGTGTCTGCAAATACTAGCTGATAGAATAAAAAAGGGAGAGAATGATCCAACATGGGAAGTGAGCTACACAGCAGACCCATAGAATGGCAAATGTCCTAACAGCACTCTGGCCTCAGAATCAACCCTTAAGGCATGTGGATATGGCTGAAATGCCCATGAGAGTATTTCAGGCGTGGAAAGTCAAGACACTCTGGGGGAAAAAAAAAACCTAAATGAAAGATCTCCGCGAGTGAGATCCCAGTGGAAAGAATGGGTCATCAAAGAAGGAGGTACCTTTCTTTCTCTGAAGGGAGGAGGGAACTTCCACTTTGACCGTGGCCTTGTCTAAATATGATCAGAGTCAGTGAACTCAGGGGGCTTTCATAGCCTTGGCAGCTCATGACAAGAGCCTAGGGTGATTACTGAGGCCATAAACAAGAGTGTTAATTTGTTAAGTGAACAACAGGAGTCACTGTGCACTTACTCCTCATGTGGGATCTTTGTCCTTAGTGTGCTGTACATTGAGATTTAATGCTATAACTAGTACTCAAACAGTATTTTTCACTTTATGTTTCTGTGTGGGAGCAAACTGTTGAACTCTTTACTTAATGTATGCTAAACTGATCTTCTGTCTATAAAGAGAATCGAAAATGAATCTTGATATGAATGGAAGGGGAGAGGGAATGGATAAGGGGAGGGTTGCGGGTTGGAGGGATGTTATGGGGGGAAGCCATTGTAATCAATATTCTGTACTTTGGAAATTTATATTCATTAAATAAAAGTTAAAAAAAAAGAAAAGTCTTGTAACATTCCAAGATAACTAAAGTTGAACAGCACATAGCGAGTCTTTTTAATTCCTAATCTCGTAACAAATTATTTTATGTCACACAGTAAAAGCCAAAATCCAAAGATAAATAAGTATTATGAACAAAGCTAATAAATTATGATGTAATATGTGTGTACAATTATTTTATGACCTAAATGTACATTGGCTTTCTAATTCAAACTATGCACAATGACTTGTACAGGCTACTTGCTTTTTTGTTAGGTAACCCCAGAAAAAGCAGTATGTTTATTTAAAAGAAAAAAAAAAGTGCTTAGAAATCAGCAAAGTTCATATAAGCCTAAATTCAGTGAAAGAAGACTACTTTTTTTCTTTATTAAAGATTTATTTATTTATTTATTTGAAAGGCAAAGTTTCAGACAGGCAGAGACAGAGACAGAAAGAGAGGTCTTCCATCCACTGGTTCACTCTCCAAATGGCTACAATGACACGAGACAGGCCAGTCTGAAACCAGGAGCCAGGAGCCTCTTCAGGGTCTCCCACGTGGGTGCAGAGGCCCAAGTACTTGGGCCATCTTGTGCTGTTTTCCCAGGTGCATTAGTGAGGAGCTGAATCAGAAGTGGAGCAGCAGGACAGTAACTGGCACCCATGTGGCATGCTGGCATCTCAGATGGTGGCTTTATCAGCTACACCTCAGCTCCAGCTCCTGAGTCAGCATTTTTAACATACAAATGTATGAAGATGTATGTTACTGGAAAAGAAAGCACCCTCCTATTCCTCTTTTTTTACATCCTTATATATAATTGCATCTTGGACACTTGCTTAAATCTTGCTTAACAACCCTGTCAAACTGCTTCTCAGGCAAGAAGCTTCATTAGGGAACTTACCTCCCCACCATCTTTTTTCCTTCTCACAGTAAATAAAACTATTTCCACTTGAGATATTATTTGACACGAATCCAAGCAGAACCTCTTGCGTCTAACACAACCATAGTTGGTTATTGTAAAACTGAAATGAAATTACCTGGCCGAGTAATATTGGCTCAACGTAAGGGCTTAAGTAGTGATAAAAACAGTCCATATTAAAATCATGATCATTGCTGAACAACAGAAGAGTTATTAAATGGAAAAAGGGAAGGAAACTGTTATTAGTAAGAAACCTAACTGTGACAGGTGCTTTATATTCGGTACGTCTGGACTCTAGACAAGGTCATATATATTAGAAGTGCAAAGATAAAAAAAGTGGGCATTTTGCCCAATCTTAGCAAGGCATTAAATGAATTAAAACATGTATGAAGTGTCTCAAAGATCTCTTAACACACAGAAAGTGTTCAGCGTGTGTTAGCTCCTTAGGTCATCACTATTGCATCTAAGTAGAGAAGCAAGGACTATGATGTATTCCATCTGACAGCAGAGTACATATCATAAAGTCATTATAAAATCACAGACTTTTGTATTATCTATATGTTACTGAAAATTCCAAAGAAAATATATGATCCTTTAAGATTTCCTTCTAAATAAGATGAAACAGGAGGAAAAACGTGCCTAATGCTCTGCAGAAAAGCGGGTTTGACATCCTGTTATTGGGCTAGCACTGCCAATGTGTGATGGATAAATGAACTGTTTTCCATCTAATAAGGGAAATTTTGAGGTAGTTTGAAACAGATATCATTCTAGGAGAACTTACGGTAAATAAAGTCTGTATCATTAGTTACAAAATATGTCATCACTGAAATAAACCTAATTAACTTTATTGAGTTTCTATTAAAACCCACACTATATGGCTGTGAAGTTTCAGAGATAAATAATATATCTTCCCCTTCGGGAAGTACATGGGAGATTAGGAAGCACCATCATAGTGACTAATAACTTTATATGTTGTGGAAATTGAAGTAACAGAAATAGATATAAAAGCTAATGGAATTATATGTAATTAATTTTATTCTTCCAGACTATAAGAAGAAAATAATGTAACACAGGGTTATTGTTTATTCATTTATTCATATGAAGCATGCTTGCAAGTCAGGACACCATATTTACTTTATTAGACTCAAGTATTCAGCTGAAAAGCAATCCAAGTAACTTCTGATACAACCTAGAGAGCAATCTGAGTCTTTTTTAGACTATTGCTGGCATATTTATTACACCAAGGAAAGATGAACAGTGTTTTAATAGTAAAAGCAATGGTTTTAATAGCAAAGTTTGCATTGGAAAATACATATTCCATCATACCTCTTATCTCTATGTACTTATTGATAACAAAAACTAACATTTTGAATGGAGAAATGCCATTGTTTTAGATTTTCCTAGATAGTATATTATTACCTGAAATTAAAAATAGTATAGAAACAAATATATGAGTATGTTTACTGTGATCACTTTATGGAAATTAACTTGAGATACATTTATGTTTATAAGATTTATTTTCCATAGGAGGGTACTGGAAAATGGAATTAAAATAGGCCTATTTTGTGCAAATTATTTCTGAAATCCATAAATAATTTTCTCATAATACTCAATTCTACACAAACTTTCTGAATATCCTTCATGCCTGAACCCATGAAAACAACTTCATTACAAGATGTTCTCATCCAGGGGGTTATCCTATGGAAATTATTCCATTCCTTATCATAAAAAGAATGTGATGCCTTTCTCCATTCATCATTACCTTGTGGAAGCATTAATTTTTTTCTGTTCAACTTCATATATCAAGTGCCATTATAAAAACTACATTACACAATTATTTAAATTACTATACTGTAATATAATGGAGTTCAAGAATGGAATAATTTTCTATGGAGTGAAAGATTCTAATTTGGTCCTTACTGGATTTGAAAAAAAATAACACAATATTTTCTGAAATTGTAAGGTAAAGAGTAAGGAAAAAAAGAGATGTCATCTAAATAATAGATCAACACTGTAGAAAAATAAACAGGCAAAAAGAACTCAAATGTTTGTCCACTGCCCTCCCCACCCCTACCATTTACCAAATTAGATGAGTTCCATTAGCCCTCTTGTGGTGATGTGTTAGGATTATAGATTATTCTACTCAAAGAGTAAAAAATAAAGTAAAATAAAATAAAAATTAAAAAATAAGCTATCTTCTTTCAGAACAACTAAATGACAAAACTGAAGCATGTTCCTGTAAATGCCAAATTCTAGGAATATATTTTTAAATCTCCGTGTGGGATGTAAGTAGAAAAATTTTCCTCAGCCAGCCAATGTGGGGTTTCTTCTTGTACCCCTCAATAAAAATATGTCAAGCTAAGATGACAAATCGGGACACCACATGGTACATCATAATAACGCAGTACTTTTGCCACATTAAATTTTGCAAAAGGTTACAGATGAGTCATTACACAGAATTGCAAGCCCTGCCACTTATTTCTCTACTGCACCTTAGTTCTTTTCATCAGGCCCCCTTGTTCTAGATTCCTGGCATTTTCTGCAAAGGGACTGCCCAATTGTTTTAATGTTCCTGTGATGTACAGAAGCACTCTGAGGTTTCAGACTGAAAGGAAGCACATTCACCTTCTCGTTGCCTTCCTCTTTGCAAAACTCCCTTGATTTTTCTGGACAGGATTCCTCCTGAGAAAATTCTTCCCTATAATAAATATGATATAACCAAAAATACATTTTATGTCACCTATCGGACATTATTTAATTCCTGGCCATAACAAATGATGGTCTTTAAGAGAGAGGCTGTCACATCTCCTTTGGCACTAATGTGAGTCTACATGATCTCATTTTCGTTAAGTCAATGCGTAAACATTTCAGAATGAATCATCAGCACTTAGAAGCTTTTCCTCTATTTGTCTTAAAAACAAAATCCAACAACCTTGCTGTTAGAGAAGTAATCTCTGGTCATAAAGCAACTGAAAGCAGTGTTTCATCAATTAAGCCTCCAATAAACGAGGATGCATAGGTTCTGGGATCAGTGATGCTTTACTCCACAATGTTCTGCTGCAAAGATGATGGCTTTTAGTGGCTCAAAGTGAACAAGCTGGCAAGATGTGTGGGGGGAGAGGAGGGAAGGAAGCACAAAGAGACAGAGGCTAAGAGAGAAGAATGGAGAAGTACATTTATTCTTTTTACATGAAAATCCTTTAGGTCACAATACTTCTTCAAGTTGAAGAGAGACAAACCATGTAAGTGTCCAGCAGTTTACATTCTTGTCTAAAGATCTTTATTTTTCACTTCTGTTTTGAGGAGAATATCCAGGTTGAAGACTAAAGACTCCAAGGACCTAAAATTAGATAAAATGTTCAACTTAAATTTACATGATATTGTAAGTCATATATACAATCAGATGGTTCATTTACAACCAGAATTTCTTTTTGTACACCCTTAAAAGGGTTTTAATAATTATTCTACTTCACTAAAACAAAAAAATCACTAACACCTGTGTGTAGAAGCAAGTTATGTTTACTCTAAATTCATGATAATTGAATGGCATTTTTTTAGAAAATATTATTTAACATGGTAATTTACAGAAATTGTTTGCTTAAGGCCGGCGCCGTGGCTCAATAGGCTAATCCTCCACCTAGCAGTGCCAGCACACCAGGTTCTAGTCCCGGTCAGGGCACTGGATTCTGTCCCGTTGCTCCTCTTCCAGTCCAGCTCTCTGCTATGGCCCAGGAGTGCAGTGGAGGATGGCCCAAGTGCTTGGGCCCTGCACCCCATGGGAGACCAGAAGAAGCACCTGGCTCCTGGCTTCGGATCAACGGGATGTGCCGGCTGCAGCGCGCTGGCCGCGGTGGCCATTGGAGGGTGAACCAACGGCAAAGGAAGACCTTTCTCTCTGTCTCTCTCTCTCTCACTGTCCACTCTGCCTGTCAATAAAAAAAAATTGTTTGCTTAAATACATTTGAATGCCTAGAACTGTGATAAACAGTATTGGTTTTCTAATTGTCACTTATTCTTACAATATTTAATGCTCAAAATTTGCCATAGGGAAAATATGATATATAAGTATGTGGTACATATGGCTGTGAACATATGTGCATATTATTTATATACATGCAATAGGGATACATAAAATATGTATATATGTACACACACACACATGATAAAAATGAAATTAAAAGGCAGGTTTCTTTGGATGCTAACAATTTTTAAACCCCATGCATAATTTTTTCGTTCTGTGCATTTCATGAACTTTTAAAAATGCCCCCTGTACACATATATATGTCTGTATTTGAATCTTGATCATACTACACGTGAGATTTTTCTTAGTATAAATTTATTTATATATTCTAATACTATTATGAAGTTTTAACTTTGAATGTGAGAAAATGTGCTATATTTCAATTAAGTAGTAAGTATCCAAAAAATCTTTTCTTGCTGTCTAATATAATGTAAGCATACTATAAGAAAGTATTTTAGCACTTAAAAATATTTAGCAAAATCATCTATGTGGTGGATTGGAGCTATAATTATGCACACCCATTTAAATGCATATAAATGTTTTGGAAAAGGAAAAATGCGGATTATTTTAGGTTATGAAAATTTAAGTTGAACATTTTAATCCAATTTTTAGGTCCTTGGAGTCTTTGGTCTTCAAGGATGCCTTACAAATTGGTGGTTAATTTCATGAAGCATAAATAGTCAGACCTACCTAAACTGAACCATTGCTCTGCTATTCAACATTTTGTGCCTTTAATTCAGAACTTTTAAGTTCCTGAATCAATTTATGTAATTGCAAAATACTACCCCACTCCAGGGATATTCAAAGATGGAAGAGATAAAAATGGATCAAATACTTTTGCCTGCAACATTTTTATCTTGTAAGAGCTTGGTAGGTGGTGATACATTGGCATCCTCATCATTATTATTACACAAGAAAAATGAGTCCAGCAATAAGATAATTAGTGCCGGCTGGGAATAGGGAGACTATAGGTCAGGGAGAAAAATGGCATAGGTTACCTGCTTTGTGAAGAGATGATATATTTGAAGGAATTTAATTCATGGAAAAATAACTTTTAATTTGCATTTTTGGTCAAAAACTCTGTGACTTTTGTTTGATCAATGCCGTAAATTTTAATCTCAGGGCCGGCTCCGTGGCATATTGGGGAAAGCGGCTGCCTGCAGCGGCCAGCATCCCATATGGGTGCTGGTTCATGTCCTGGCTACTCCAATTCTGATCCAGCTTCCTGCTTATGGTCTAGGAAAAGCAGTTGAAGATGATCCAGTTCATGGACCTCTGCACCCACATGGGAGACCTGGGAGTATCTTCAGGCTGCTGGCTTCAGACCACCCAGCTCTATCTGTTGCTGCCATCTGGGGAATGAACCAAAAGATGGAAGGTCTCTCTCTCTCTCTCTCTCTCTCTCTCTATATATATATATATATATGTATATCCCTGACTCTGCCTTTCAAATAAATAAATTTTAATCTCAGGATATCATGAGGAACTTATAAATGTAGGTAAAACGTTGATAAGAGATTAAAATTGCAGTTTTATGCACTCAATATTAAGTGTATGCTTGAAGAATTACTTCTAATTATCACTACAGAATGAAGAAAGTGTTCAGATCTAAGCCTGTTCTGTCAAAATGAAATATTACATAAAATTACAGTGATTTCCCTGCTACGTTCTTGCAGGACTATCCACTTGATATTGAGTACATAAAGTAGAACCGATTTTAAGGGTCTCTAAATTTCTACACTTCATAGATCAAAGTCATTACAAAATGAAGCATTGCGTGCTGATTTCATAAATCATAGGAACAACAAAACTTGAAATTTTGCAAACCTGAATTCATAATCATCTGTGTTTCTCTATTATCTTAACAATCATCTGAGATTCAGAAATTAAGATGTCTCATCTAAGTGAAGGAGAGCGCCGTGAAAATCTGATTATTTCCAAGGTGATAACAGCTTACCTTGAAAGTGTTACATATATATTAAAAATAAAACCTTGATGTTGCAGAGAAGGAAGGCAATCAAATTTGGGAGAAAGATGTAAATTCAAGATGTCAGTTCTTATCCTAAAGATCAAAAGATACATGACAAAGATACGTTTAATATTGTTTTTCATTGAAGTAAATACAGAAGTTAACTTCATATTGATTTTTAAAAAATAAACCCTGTTATTTCATTATTATTTGTACATTATTTCAGACTACAGTGCTAACTGACAGCTTACCTCAGGATTCAGTGAAGCCAGTTTAGTTGTGTGATGGATTTCTGCCAATAAATGTTGCTTTTTAGGGTTTAGCAATCTTTTTGTCTTCAATCATTGAGTTCCTTTGAAAATATTATTCTAAACCTACTTATTAATTTTTCATCTAGCTATAACTTTCATTCCTTCGATTTTTTTGTAATAAGGGTTTTTTTTTTTTAAATAAGTACAGTGAAAGGTTACATCACAAAGTACAAACCACATCAATCATAGACAGATATTTTTCTTTGCTCTGTTGTCATCCTGTGAGTCAACAAAAATGAGTAAGGGAAAATTGGGAAAATTGTATTCAAATATTTCATAATTTTATTACTATATTTTTCATTCATCATCCAAGTATTAATGGCCAAAAAATAACATATTTTACTTTATTACTCTATTCTTGCTTGTATGGTTAAAGTTTTTTCCTGTTTAAAACACTTAATATGTTGAAAACATAGAACTTCTACATATTCAAAATTTTAGAAACTCTTGATCATAGTGTTTCATTTATGTGATTTAGTCAGTGAGCTTACTTAATGAAAACAGAGTCCATATAATTAAGAGACATATTTGACAATTGCATACCAAGAAGAACTCTCTTCTGCAACAACAATTTATAATTCTTATGCAGTTTAATTTAAATAAAGCAATGAAAAGGAATTAAATTGAGAATACAGACAAGGTTGAAGTTATTCAAGCCTATCCTAACTTTGGGGAGGGGAAATGAACCTCCAAATAAAGTATAGTATTCAAGGTAATAAGATACTTAAAAGTTTTTCTCATAATTCTTTTTCAGTTAGTTATTAGGTGTTTGGCCACAATAATAAAAATATGGACATGGTAATCCTTCATGTAATAGTGATTGGAGTATCTATCACATACTGGTCACTGTCACAGTTCCTAGGAATTTAAAGGTATTTAAAACACCATCTGGGGCTGGCGCCGTGGCTCACTTGGTTAATCCTCGGCCTGCGGCGCCGCCATCCCATATGAGCACCGGCTCTAGTCCCAGTTGCTCTTCTTCCAGTCCAGCTCTCTGCTGTGGCCCGGGAAGGCAGTGGAGGACGGCCCAAGTGCTTGGGCCCTGCACCCGCATGGGAGACCAGGAGGAAGCACCTGGCTCCTGGCTTCGGATCAGCGCGGCGCTGGCCGTAGAAGCCATTTGGGGAGTGAATCAAGGGAAGGAAGACCTTTCTCTCTGTCTCTCTCTCTCTCACTGTCTATAACTCTATCTGTCAAAAAAAAAAAAAAAAAAAAAAAAAAAAAAAAACAAAAAAAAAAACACCTATCTCTTAGAAGCTCCTAGTCATGTGGAAGAAATCAACAGGTAATCAGACATAGCACACATTATTTTTTTAATTTTATTTAAGTTATATAAGTTTCATGTATTTCTTATATACAAATTTAGGAACATAGTGATACTTACTCACCTCCCAACCACCTTCCCACCCAAGCTCCAACCCTTCCAACCTGCTTCAGGGATTTATTTTAGCTCCCTCTCACATTCCCACTCTTAATTTTTACAAATATATAGTTTCCGTTTACTTAATAATCATATAGTTAACCCTACACTAAGTAAGAGTTCAACAAATAATATGAAGAAAAAAAAGTCATTCCTCAACAAAAGAGATAAAGGCTGTGAACAATCATTGAATTGCAAAATGTCTTTTTCACTCCTAATTATTATATTTTAGTTTATCTATACTAGTTACCTCAGATCAGGGAAAACATGATATCTGTCTTTTTGGCAGTGGCTTATTTCACTAAGTATAATGGTTTCCAGTTGTGTCCATCTTGTTGCAAAAGACAGGATTTCTTCTTTTTACAGCTGAATAGTTCTCTATAGAGTTCTCTATGGAGTTCACCATATAGTTCACCATAATTTCTTTATACAGTCAATAGTTGATGGACATCTGGGTTGATTCCATATCTTAGTTATTGTGATTGTGCTGAAATGAACATGGGGGTACAGACAGCTCTTTGAGATGCTGATAATTTTTGGTTTGTGTAAATTCCCTACAGTGGGAAAGGCTGGATCTTATGGTAAGTCTGCATTCAGATTTCTGAGGTATCTCCATACTGTCTTCCACAGTGCTGCACCAGTTTACATTCCCACGAACAGCAGATTAGGGGACCTTTTTCCACACATTCTCACCAGCATTTATTGTGGTGTTGATTTCTGTATGAGAGCCATTCTAACTGGAGTGAAATCAAACCTCATTGTGGCTTTCATTTCCGTTTCCCTGATGGCTAGTGATCCTGAGCAGTTTTCAAGTGTGTGCTGGCCATTTGAATTTCCTCTCTCGAAAAATACCTTTTTGCCCATTTGTCCTTTGCCCATTTCTTAGCTGGATTATTTGTTTTGTTGTTGTTATGTTTCTTGAGCTCTTTCTAGATTCTGGATGTTAACCCTTTATCAGTTGAATAGTTTACAAATATTTTTTTCCCATTCTGTCAGTTGTCTCTTCATTTGCTGTGTTTCTTTTGCAGTGCAGAAACTTCTCAGCTTGTTATAATCCTGAAGTAGGCAGGCATACAGGTTAAAATCGATTAGGTTTGTGAGCTAGAAGACCACGCCTTCACCACACCCCTGTGTGACCTCATGCCCCTACCTGGCCACACCTGGGTGCCCACCAGCCAATCAAGTTAATTAATCACTTCCCTTTGGAAGTGGGTTAAAAGCCTGGGAAATGGTGTCCCGCCCTTCTCTTCTGTTTCCTGGCTTCTTGCCAGGAGGCGGCTTGCTGTAGCCCTGAACCGCCAGGGCACGTGGCCTTTGGGCCACCGGCCCTAGGCTTCCTGGCCTAGATGCTCCTCCACGTGGCTGGTTCCTGGTGCTCAGTATGAACCCAGATTTACCTCTGTCTCTTAGATAAAGCTCTTACTCTCCTATGCACCTTTCGCACTAAATAATTGCCTAAAATGTACCATGCTGCCTCGTTTATTTATGCCGGTATTTAGAATTCTTTAAATATTAGGCAAGAACCCTCTTGGGCTTATTAATATTGGGGATTTATTAATAAACATATGGTGATATCATATGGCACCCCAAATTCCGGTAGCATATGTGGCACCCCTGATGGTGCTTCTGAGGAACTTTCAGGGACCACATTTTCATATAGATTTTTGGGGGTCATTTCTGATATCAATTCCATTTGTTAATTTTGGTTTTGATTGCCCGTGCTTCTGGGGTCTTTTCCAAGGAGTCTTTGCCTGTGCCAATGTCTTGCAGAGTTTCCCCGATGTTCTTTAGTAATTTGATGGTATTGGGTTGTAGATTTATGTCTGATTAATTTTGAGTGGATGTTTGTGTAAAGCGTAAGATGGGGTATAGTTTCATATTTCTGCATGTGGAGATCCAGTTCCCCCGGCACCATTTGTACAAGAGACTGTCCCTGCTTCAGGGATTTGTTTGAGCTTTTTTTTTTTTTTTTTCAAAGATAAGTTGGTTGTAGATGTGTGGATTGATTTCTGGAGCTTCTATGCTGTTCCATTGGTCTACAAGTCTGTTATGTGCCAGCATAGATGCTTTCTTTGCATCTATGGAGATAATCGTATGTTTTTTCTTTAGTTTGTTAATGTGATGTATCACATTTATTGATTTGTGAATGTTGAATCATCCCTGCACACCAGTGATAAATCCCACTTGTTCCAGGTGAATGACCTTTCTGATTGGCGAGTATTTTGTTGAGGATTTTTGCATCTATATTCATGAGGGATATATGGCTATAGTTCTTTTTCTCTGTTGTATCTTTTTCTTGTTGGGAATTAAGGTAATGCTGGCTTCTGAAGGAGTTTGGGAGGATTTACTCCCTTTCAATTGTATGAAATAGCTTGAGAATATTTGGAATTAGCTCTTCTTTAAATGTGTGATAGAATTCAGCAGGGAAACCACTTGGTCTTGGGCTTTACTTTGTTTGCAGGGTCTTTATTACTGATTCAATCTCCATTTTTGTTATTTAGCTGTTTGGTTTTCTTTGTCTTTATGACTCAGTTTTGGTAGATTGTATGGGTCTAGGAGTCCATCCATTTCTTCTAGGTTTCCCATTTTTTTTTTTTTTGGCATGCATCTCTTTGTAGTAATTCCTGGTGATTCTTTTCATTTCTGTGTTATCAGTTGTTACGTTTCCTTTTTCGTCTCTGATTGTATTGATTTGTGTCTTCTGCCTATTTTTTTTTTTTAGTTGGGGCAGTGGTATATCAATTTTGTTTATTTTTTCAAAAAATGAGCTTTTCATTTCACTGATCTTTTGTATTTTTGTTTCAATATTGTTATTTTCTATTTTTAATTATTTCTTTCCTCATATTTTGGATTTTTTGTTGTTGTTTTCTAGATCCTTGAGACGCATTGATAGTTCCTTTTTTGGTACATTTCCAATTTCTTCATGTAGGCCCCATTTACTATAAACTTTCCTCTTAACACTGCTTTTGCTGTATCCTGCAAGTTTTCATTGTTGTATTGTTGTCTTCATTTGTTTCCGAGATTTTTTTTTTTATTTCATCTATGACCCACTGTTCATTCAGGAGCATGCTGTTTAGGCTCCATATGTTTGCATATGATCTGGGGATTTTTGAGTTTTGATTTCCAGTTTCATTGCATTGTGGTCAGAGAAGATGCATAGTATGATTTCGATTTTTTTGAATTTGCTGAGATTCACTTTATGGTCTTGCATATGGTCTATCCTAGAATTAAGGATAATTAAGGATAATTATCCTAGAGAAAGTTCCATACACTGATGAGAAGAATGTGTATTCTGCAACTGTGGGGTGAAAAGTGCTGTATATATCTATTAGATCAATTTGTTCCACAGTGTCAATCGGCTTTGTTGTTTCTTTGTTGATTTTCTGTTGAGTTGATGTGTCCATTGATGAAGTGAGATGTTGAATACCCTTTTACTATTACTATTGTATTGGAGTCTATCTCTTCCTTTAGATCCATTAGCATTTCTTTTAAATAGCCAGTTACTCTGTAATTGGGTGCTTATGCATTTATTATAGTTACATCTTCCTATTGAATTGATCTTTTAATCATTACATAGTACCCTTCTTTTAACAGTTTTTATGTTAAAGTCTATTTTGTCTGATACTAGAACTGCAACATCTTCCCTTTTTTGTTTCTGTTAGCAGGGAACATATTTTTCTATCCTTTCACTTTCAATCTATGTGTATCTTTGTTGGTGAGATGTATTTGTTGTAAGCAGCAAATAGTTGGATCTTGTTTTTTAATCCATTTGGCCAGTCTTTATCTTTTAACTGGAGAGTGGAGGCATTTATATTCAAGGTAACTATTGATAAGTAATGACTTGTCCCTGCCATTTTTCCATAAATATTCCTATTGTTTACTTTGGATTTCTTCTATACTTTTCCTAAGGGATTTTCTGTCATACATTCTTTTTGGTTTTTTTGGCTATCTTTCTGTGTTTCAGTGAATAGCACATCCTTAAGCATGTTTTGTAAGGCTGGGCAAGAGATGACAAATATTTCAATTTCTGTTTGCAATGGAAGGTCTTTATTTCACCTTCATTCATAAGTGAGCGCTTTGAAGGGAACAGTATTCTAGGTTGACAATTTTTTTCCATTAAGACTTGGACTATAGCTTGCCATTCTCTTCTACCTATAGGGTTTCTGATGAGAAATCAGCTGTTAGCCTATTTGGAGATCCTCTGAAAGTATTCTGGCATTTATCTCATGCACATTTTAGAATCTTTTCTTTATGTTTTACTGTGAAAAGTTTGACTATAATGCTTCATGGTGAAGATCTTTTCTGTTCTTGTCTGTTAGCAGTTCTATGTGCTTCCTCTACTGTGATGTCACTTTCTTTCTCCAAATTGGGGAAGTTTTATGTAATTATTTCACTAAATAGGCCTTCTAGTCCATTCTCTCTTGTCACACCTTCAGGAATTCCTATGACCCATATGTTAGGTTACTTGATAATTTCCCTTAAATCTCCAACACTGTTTTTAAGTTTTCTAATTTCTTCTTGGTTTTCTTTTTTTTTTTTTTTCCTTTGGGAGGTGGAGAACCTAACTGAAAGGTTTCCAAAGATCTGTCTTCTAGCTCAGATATTCTTTCTTCTGCCTTGCCAAGTCTGTGGTTAAGACTTTCCACTGCATTTTTTAATTTGATCTATTAAATTCTTCATTTTTCTTTAAAATCTCAATTTTATGGCAAAAATTTTCATTCATGTCATGTATGGTTTTCTTTAGTTCATGGATTCGCTTCTGATTGCTTTTAATTAATCCTATGATTAATTTTTTAATTCCATTTCGGGCATTTCCTCAGTCTATGCATCTTTGCATTCTAATATTAAAATGTTATTGTGGTCCTTTGGTGGGGCGCAGAGGGTCATGGTGACTTCCTTATTTTTATTTCTTGAATTTTTTGTGTGTATTGTTAGACATTTGTGGAGTTGATTTTTTTTTCCTCTGATGGCTTTTATCTTTGAGCTATGCCTCTACAGGTTAGTGGAATGTCTGCACTTTCAGTGAATAATGAGAAGTATGTGGTGGCTGTGGCCAGGGAGCTATGGTCAGTGCTCCAGGGTGGGGCGAGTATCCGGGATAATACCCAAGTTGGGCGTGGTAGGTCTCCTCTTTACAGAAGTAAGGGAATGGTCACTTCTGTTGGTGTGATCACCCCCTTACCTCCTCTCCTCCAAGATTAGCAATACCTGAGTTTTAGCCACCAGTGTGTTCAGCAGTCATCCACACCACCATTTGAAACACACAAATGATCAGTGCTTGCCCACTGTGAGCAGAGTTCCCGCTGCAGTAACCTGCCCCAAGCAACTAACAAGCTCCAAGCATGAATGCCCAGAGATCCAGCTATACCCTGCACCTTCTCAGGTAACCATCGAGTCCCCACAGTCTCAGCACACAGAGCTCCCACAGTCGCTGGGTGCAGAGGTTTGGTTCTGCCCTGCTCGTCTGTCCAGTCAATAGAGAGGCAGATGTTCCTCGAGCTAGCTCCACCTATGTGTCTTGATCCTGGGATGCTGGGGGCACCTTACAGTTCTGTGTGGGTGCCCCACCTCCCAGCCAGGCACATATTCAGTGGGGAGTCTGGATATTTCCCTCTACTACAATCTTTGGATCATACGCGTACACGAGAGCCACTGCGGACTGTTGCTGTCTCAACACCACTGCCACTAGTACATGCAGAGGAGGCATCCTGTCTCAGCCAGTTGTTGTGCGCAAAGGCTTCCGCAGATGCCGCCCAAACCCAAAATGGCTCCCACCCTTTCTCAGCCAGTCAGTGGATGCTGTTGTGGGGAAGTTGGTGCTAGATAAAAATGGCCCCTCTACTTCCACTGGGTCCGCGGGCAACCGCTAGCAATGCTGTCCAGATTCATGCCACTCTCTCCCTCCAGCTTTATCACCGTGGTTTGCTATAGTCTGGTCTCACCTCAGTCTCCAAACCACTGCCAAGCTGCCTCCTGCTCCAGCTCTTGGCTGCTGCATTTGTTTGCTGTGTCCATGTTTGTGCTGCGCGCCTTCAGCCTCCACACAGGTCTATGACATTCCTCTTCCTCTTGTAGGATTTCCAGTGAGATTTTCTCTTCAATTCTCCCCCGAGAGTGCAATTTCTACACGTTTTCTTTTACTATTTATTGCTGGCCTAGTGCAGTATATTGATCCCTAATCTGCGATCTTGTACCCTCTCCCCAACATATTATTTTAAAGATTTATTTATGCATTTTAAAGGGAGTAAAGTGAAGGATAGAGGGAGGGAGAGCGAGAAAGATCTCCTATCCGCTAGTTTTCTTCCCAAATGGCTAAAATAGCCAAGGCTAAGCCATGCTGAAGCTAGGAGCCAAGTTACTCAAGGAATTGAGCCGTTACCTGCTTCTTCCCAGGCACATTAACCAAGAGTTGACTAGGAAGCCAGGAAGCTGGGCCTCCAATCAGGCGCTCTGATTTGGAATGTGGGCATCCCAAGCAGCAGCTCAACCCACTGCACCCATGGTGCCCAACCTGCAACTAGCATATTTTTAACAGTGATAGAGACAATGCATTCCAATGATTTATAAGAGGAAATATACAACTGAAACCTGAGCAGATTCATCTTTTCTACATACATACATAGATCATCCATACCTTTATCCATATGTACTTAAAATTACTGTCCATTGATTTACTGCCTCTGGCTGTGTATCAGATGCACTTGAGTTCAAGAAATTATCCAAAAGTTTTTCTAGGTCAGACAAGATAGCTTTTTAATTGGTTGAAATAGGAAAAGAAAAACTCAGTAACATTCATACATTCATAATTATTCTGTAAAATACTTGAGCTATCCATGGTTCCGTCAATAGTTTCAGGAGAATTTTCACTTCTGATACTTAAAGTTGACAATCTCAGCAAAGGGCAGGCAGTGATGCCCTCCTCAATCTAAGAACTTGGGTGTTCAGGGGTCAAACTTATTTTGACATTTCTTTATCAGAAAAAGAAATCCTGAGTAGTATACATAATCTCACAGCACATTCTAAAGAAGCAATTCATCACCTGTATTCTTAACAGCCCTTGACTGCAGCAGTGTTCTTTCATATAGTAACAACCCTTGAACTCCAGCTCTCGCCAGTTGGAGCACATCTGTCTTTCTCTGGGATCCTTATCTCCCAAGAAAGTATCTCCTATGTGAGAGCTTATTTTTCATAGACTTATTTCTACAGAACTAAGACCAGTCTAGGGAGTGAAAAATCAATATAATGTCTGTTCAACTATTTTATCTGACAAGATAATTTAAGGCAAAAATATATGTGTCTGACCAGATCATGCTATTTATCTCCAATCCACAAAATATTTTATTGTAAAAATGTTATCTGAATACCAGATATTGTCACGACACACTTATGCTTTAGGTATACATGTCTTCTTGCTATGCTTATGAATTTCCAAAATACTCTTATCTTGAAAAATGCATTCAGTTAAAGCTTTTCAGATATTTAATTATACAATCCTCCTTCCCCTTTCCATTTTAAGGAGATCCGTGATTTCTGTAACCATTAAGGCCATGAAAGAATCCCAGTGACTACATTAGAAATATCATCAATCATTCAAACCAGTCAGAACTAATGATAATAACTAGCAACTGTGCACAAACTGCCTTACACAGAGCAGGTAAGATAAGAGATGACTTTTTGGAAGATGATAATAGAGGATAAAGTTCAGGCTTGGAAAGTTGGAGGACTGACAGTTTCTAAACCTGTTGGGGGGAGGGGAGTCTTATGAGGGCTCAGAGAAAAATATTCTGGCTTCAAAGAGTAACTTGAATACTTGGAATCTATGGATACTACTTAATTCATGTTAGGGAGTGAAAAAAGGAGGGAGAGAAAAGGACACACTGTCTGCTGCTTCGGAAGTATAGATCACTGTCTTCAACATTCCTTCAGTCAATTAATTAGTGTGAATTCTACATTGAAAATGTCCTGTCTGTATCTTAATAACACATTATCAGCTAAAATTGCCTATAACCACCATCCATCTCTTAAGTTCAGATTCAGATGGTGATTCTCAGTTGGGAGTGATTTTACATCACCATCCCCTGTCCACAGGGACTATCTGCAAGTGCCTGGAGACGTTTTTGGTGTGACACTTGAGGATACTACTCTCTACTAGATGGGGATCAAGATGTTCCTCTACATCCCTATTGCCTCCCTTGCCCTGACGAAGAATCATCTAGTTCAAAATAAATGCCAGTTGAGTTTGAGAAATCCTGAAATAGAGTGATGTGGAATATTTATTCATTTATTATTTTAAGACTATATTTGCCAGTACATGGTCATATTTTAACTCAAGACAGCTTAGTGATACAAGTTTTGTGGGCTTGGAAATAGGTTGACATGGTGTTCATAGTTGATCAATGTCCCTTGTGTATTAGAAGGACAGACACTAGTCTTGAGGTTTCATATCTTAAGCATAGGAATCTAGGTCAAAATATATTTTCTCTTTCACAGTAGGTGAGTCCTTTCTGAAATGAACACCCCTGTGAATCACACTATAGTAATGTTGAGCTGCTTCTCCAAATAGACGCCCCTAACACTCCAGTTTAATTATGAAATCTATGTATTTTTGAGATGAAGGAATATGTATCATATTTAAATATTTGATTTTTCTTTCATCGTATTTGTTTACCTCCTGTTTCCCTCATTAAGATGAATGTCCCATAATTCTCTCAGTTTCTCTAGCCATAAACCTGAGAGATATTCTGAATATACTTCTTATCCCTACTCCCTTTATCCCTAAGCAAATCAGTTACTAAGGCTTCACAATCCTGTCTGCCAATCATGATTTACATTAACTCCCTCCTTTGCCTGTGTCACTGATCAGGTTTCAGACCTATCCACTCTTCTGTGCACTATTCACTCATCTACACTTTCATCCAATCACATGAGTATTTACACAGCCACTTATTCAGCAATACCTGAACCACTATTGAGTATATGTCATGTATTCCAGGACACTGATTGGAAATCAAACCAAAACACCGGAGCCTTCAATATATTAGAAACAGAAAAACTAAGTTATGGCAACTGCAGTTACAGTCATGTGCCACATAACGTTTCAGTCATGACAAACCACATATACATGGTGATCCCATAAGATGACAATGAAGATGAAAAATTCCTGTGTCCTAGTGATGTCACCAAGCTCATAACTTTGTAGTGTAGCTCATCAATACATGTTTGTGTTGATGCTGCTACAAAAATATCTACTGTGTTGGCAGTCATACAAGATTATAGCAAATGCAATTTAATCACTACTTAAAACTTGACAGTGAAAATATCTGTTAGGGTGTTGACTATACACTTTTTATCATAGTTTATATATACTCCTACTTATTTACTTATTAAGACAGTTTACTGTAAAATGGTACCCCATGCTATGCCAGCAACAGACTCATATGTCCACTATTTCTACGTCTCTTGATTGCATCATTTCTTCTTATCCTTGATTTAATCTTATGTTGTTTTATTCATCGTGGCCTCTAAAGTACAGAATCTGCTGCTAAGAGGCTAAGCTCAGTGACTGACAACAAACAAAATTCAGCATAGTGAAGGACTACAAACATGGAAAATCAGTAGTTGTTACCTGTCAGGCACATCAAATTCCATCATGCTATGGGCTTGAAGAACAAGAGCAAAATAATGGAAGCTGTTAAAAGATCTGCTTTAGTGAAGGCAACAAGATTAACAAAATCAAGAATAGCCTCTACCAGATATGGAGAAACTTTGGCCTGGATTGATTACTAGACACAGAAGCATATTCCTCTCAGCACCATGATGATCACAGCCATAACAAAAGGTTAGCTGTGTTAAAAGGTTGAACCTGACTGAGATGTTGAATTTACTGCCAGTTCTGGGTAGTTTAAATGATTCAAGAATCATCTGATACTGATTACATAATGTGAGAGAGTGAGTGTTGAGTCTGCCAGCACTGATGTGAAGACAGCTGAGGAGCTGAGGAATTTTTAGAAACTCTAGATAAGCTGAAAGTGGAGAAAAATTATTTGCCAGAGCAAAGGATGAAACCTCGCTGTTCTGGAAACTAATGCCTGAAAGCACATTCGTCCACAAGGAGGCCAATCAGTGCCAGGTCCCAAGACTTTTAAGGACAGGATAACAACATTGCTTGGGAGCAACGCTGAAGTTTGTAAATTGAGACCTCTGTGATCTGGCACAGTGAGACTCTCAGGGCCTCCATGCATGTTAATATGCACACTCTTCCATTTACTACAGAAGCAATTAGAAATCATGGATGACCGAACTCATCTTCTAAGATGCCCTTTTGAATGACTTTGCCAGTGAAATAGAGAAGTACTGATTGGAAGGCAACATACCTTTTAAGATTTTGCTTTTGTTGTTATGTTCTCATTCATCTTCCTTTTGTTGGCGATCTTCATCCCAATATCACAATGATGTTTCTCCCTCAAACACTACCTCTTTGATCCACCAATAGAACAAGGAGCTACAGCAGTTTTTAAGTCCTGCTATCTAAGGAAGACTGTACCCAGGCTATTGCTGCCACTGAGGAGGAGATTGAAGGGACAGTGATGCAATTCTGGAAGGACTGGAGCATCTATGAATGCAAGAAGAACCTTGCTTGGGTTTTGGGTAATGTCACCCAGAGTATGTGAATGGCATCTACAAGAAGACATGGCTCATCCTTGACTTCAAAGCACTTTCCAAGGACGAGGAGTTTCCAAAAGCAACAAGACTGTGGTTTTGATAGATGAAGCATGTGGATGAATATGACATTGAGGAGTTCCTACGGGTGGTTCCTGAGGAATCATCTAATGAGGATTTGTTAAAATGGGAACAGAATCTCATACCTGAGGAAGAGGGAGGGAAAAGGAAACTGCAGAAGAAGAAATCCCCAGAAAATTCACAATGGAGGGTTTAGCAGAAGCTTTTACAGACTTCAACAAGTCATTCAAAAATCTGAAAGCATGAGCCTCCCAAACAGAAAGTTTCCATTGGTAGAAGGGAGCATTTACGATTCATCATCTGCTTATTAACAGATCTTTGGTGAAGAAAGCAAACTGTGGCTGGTGCCACGGCTCAATAGGCTAATCCTCTGCCTTGCGGCGCCAGCACACCGGGTTCTACTCCTGGTCGGGGCGCCGGATTCTGTCCCGGTTGCCCCTCTTCCAGTCCAGCTCTCTGCTGTGGCCCGGGAAGGTAGTGGAGGATGGCCCAAGTGCTTGGGCCCTGCACCCCATGGGAGACCAGGAGAAGCACCTGGCTCCTGCCTTCGGATCGGCGCAGTGCGCCGGCCGCAGCGTTCCAGCCGCAGCGGCCATTGGAGGGTGAACCAACGGTAAAGGAAGACCTTTCTCCCTGTCTCTCTCTCTCTCACTGTCCACTCTGCCTGTCAAAAAAAAAAAAAAAAAAAAGAAAAAAAGCAAGCAAACTGTGGACATAGTTCTGAAAAGTGACACCTTCTCAAGAAGAGCTTTAGGCAAGTCCTTTAGGAGTTTCCAGGAGAAGGTGTTATCATAGGAGATGAAGATCCATGTATGATGTTGCCTTTGAAGACCTTAGTAAGAGACATAGAGATGAGACACAGCAATATCTATGATCCTGATCCTGTTCAGTCTAATGTGTAGTTTATACTTTAGTTTTAAACAAAATGCTTGCAAAGTAAAACAGGATTGCCACCTGTAATCCCTGCATCCCATATGAGTACAGGTTCCAGTCCCTGCTTCTCTACCTGGGAAAGTGGTGGAAGGTAGCCCAGGTGCTTGGGCCCATGCCACCTATGAGGGTGACCTGGATAGAATTCCAGGCTCCAGGATTAGGCCTGATCCAGCTCTGGCTATTGTGGTCATTTGGGGGATGGGCCAGCAGATGGAAGATCTCTCCCTCTCTCTCTCTAATTCTGCCTTTTAAATAAATAAATATATTTTAAATTACCACAAAGCAGTAGAACAAAAACAATAATTTTTAAAGGTGTAAAAAATCTTATAGAACAATATTTCTAAACAGATAATGTAGTATGTTTGTATTTTAAGCTAAGTGTTATTACAAAATAATCAAAAAGTAAAAAAAAAAACCTAAAATGGTACAATAAGAGATGATTAATTTATTATTGTAAGAAGAAAGTATTTTTCTGTAAACTTAGCATGGCCTCATTGTACAGTGTGCATAAAGGCTACAGTAAAGTACAGTAATGTCTTAGATTTTCACATTCACTCACTGACTCATGCGGAGCAACACATATCTGTATAAACTCCCTTTATGGTAAGTGCCCTACATAGGCATACCATTTTTAAAATCTTCTATACCATATTTTTACTATACTTTTTTTTGACAGGCAGAGTGGACAGTGAGAGAGAGAGACAGAGAGAAAGGTCTTCCTTTGCCGTTGGTTCACCCCCCAATGGCCGCTGCGGCTGGCGCGCTGTGGCCGGCGCGCTGTGGCCGGCGCACCGCACTGATCCGAAGCCAGGAGCCAGGTGCTTCTTCTGGTCTCCCATGTGGTTGCAGGGCCCAAGGACCTGGGCCATCCTCCACTGCCTTCCCGGGCCACAGCAGAGAACTGGACTGGAAGAGGAGCAACTGAGACAGAATCCGTTTCCCTGACCGGGACTAGAACCCTGCCAGCACCGCAGGTGGAGGATTAGCCTAGTGAGCTGTGGTGCTGGCCTATTTACTATACTTTTTAATGTTTTCAGTTGTTTAGAGACACAAACTTTAAAATTTTGTGGACAGTTGTCTACAGTATCCAGTACATTAATTTGCTATAAATGTTTCCAACTAATGGGCGGTAGGCTATACCATACAGCCTAGGTGTGTAGTAGGCATCTAGGTTTGTGTAAGTACATTCTAAGATGTATGTTCATGACACAATTGCCTGACACATTTCTAAGAAAATATCCTTTGCCTTAAACAGTACATGACTGTCAGCACCATGGCTCACTAGGCTAATCCTCCGCCTGCGGCACTGGCACACCAGGTTCTAGTCCCGGTTGGGGTGCCAGATTCTGTCCCGGTTGCCCCTCTTCCAGTCCAGCTCTCTGCTGTGGTCTGGGAGTGCAGTGGAGGATGGCCCAGGTCCTTGGGCCCTGTACCAGCATGGGAGACCAGGAGAAGCACCTGGCTCCTGGCTTCAGATCGGCGCAGCGTGCCGGCCGCATACACCGGCCGTAGCGGCCACTTGAGGGGTGAACCAACAGAAAAGGAAGACCTTTCTTTCTGTCACTCTCTCTCACTGTCTAACTCTGCATATCAAAAAAAAAAAAAAAATAAGTACACGACTGTACAAAGTTGCATATCATGATAAAGGCAGGTGTGCATCAGCAGCCAATTAAGTGCACAGGAATGCAAATACCTGACAAAGGGCTGGGTAAAGATACCAGGAAGACATGAGGCCTGAAATTAAATTTATAGAGCCAGAGGCAAAGCAAGAAATGAGGTACTATATATTGCATTATTGGCCAAATGTTTTCCTCCCTGTACTCAGAGTTGCTGTCATGTAACTTTTCCGTTTCTTATGCAAACAAGAGAAAGTATGTTTTCCCTCCTTTTGACTCTGAATAAATACATGTCACTTGGTGTGGACAGTTCTGGGATGGGAGTGACGGTGGTCCTATTTTGTGACTGTGACTTAAGAGATCTTGAATACTTCCACATTCCTTCTTGTACCTCTGCCACCACCTGATAAAGAATATGCTCAGTATAGTATGTAGGTCCCAAAC